AACATGCAAACTCCACGCAGAAAGATTCCGGTGCCCCCACCGGGACGCGAACCGGCAACCTTCTTGCTGCGAGGCAACAGTGCTATCAACTGCGCCACCTTGCAGCCCCTATATCTGTTTGTAACCAAGCTAAATCTATTCAGTTTAGGATTGTGCATCGCTGTTTCTGGTCATGTCTTAAGCTACAGCAGTATTGGCTTGACATTGTAAATGATCTATCTATTGTCTTTGGTAAGTCAATACTGATGGATCCTATGTGCCTCATACTTGGTCTCCCCGATGTTCATATTATCAATAGCAAGCATAAAAGACTGTTCAAACTGCTGACCTTTGTTGCAAGAAAGAACATTCTGCTCTTTTGAAACAAGGATGCCACTCTAACAAAGAAATCGTGGCACAATCTTATAATGGACTGTATCCCCAACGAATACATTACTTGCATGCTTCACTCAACAGTGAGCACTTTCCATGAAGTCTGGGAGCCATACTTAAAATATATCGCACCGACACTGTCCTCTCCCTACTAGGATTTCCTAAACGCTCCTAACCTACCAATGTATGCACGAGTCTAGTGTCTAATTTGTTATTGTCTTGCCATACCTGAGCTGTTTTTGCTTTGTTATTTTTGCTGTGTTTATGTTGTCTGTTTTTCAGGAAATGTTAATGAAATTTCTATTTTAAAAAAATTAAGGCTTTGAGACAATATTCATACCTGATTTTTGGGGGATTGTCCTCTTGTTTCTCTGAGTTTTGAGCGTTCGCTTTGTCGATGACTTCCCTGTAACACACCAATGAGACACCATTGCATTCTGGTATTTAAAACATAAACTTGTCACTTTTCAGCTTTGTCGGACACAAAACCAAACAGTACTGACATCTGATAGTTGACAAAATTTAAACATTTACATGTACACTGGAGCCATTTGTTTTTTTCCCCTTAATTATGAACTACTTCTACAAAATAAGCTAAATTGCCAAATTTTAAATTCCATTTTCTATTTGACTGTCTATCTGACTTCCCTGTAACACACAAAGAAGTTGTGTATAATCTCTGTCGTGCTGACGTGACTTGATTTGTTGATGCCATAAACACAGTAGTTGAAGCTGNAATAAAAGCACTGGGCTCCAGTGGTGCTTGTTCCTGGGAACTACGTTCCACCTGGTTGGCAGTCTCCCAGGTGAAGCCTGAGAACGCCCTGACTGTGCAGCTGCAGCAGGAGCTCAAACTCAGTCGGCATAGCGTGGACTATAAATTTAGGTTGTCTGTTGTCGTAGTAGTGACTAGTGAGGTTGTGGAGGCTATATGGGTGGGTACTGAAGGGCCAGAATCCATACAGATCAACGTTGTTGCAGAGCTCCAGCGCCAGGCTGACCATGCTGATGCCAGTGCTGAGCTGCCCTCTGTACAGCCCCTGAGAGCGCCAGAACAGGAGCAGACTCCGGAAGTATTCAGGGTTTAAGAAGACGGGTCTGATGGGGCTGTGAAAGTCCTTGATGGTGGAGAAGACCCGCAGAGACACAGGAGTGTCTAGGGTATAGGAGAAGGCAGGAAGCAGCAGCAGGGAGTTTCCATAGGTGCGCAGTCTCTCCACAAATGGACGGCGTTGTCCAATCAGAGCCCCATAACTGTAAAATAAAGGGCTGATGTGAAGCAACAATATAAAGGGAATAATATGTATTTAAGATGACAAAGACTCATTTTCTTGCTCACTTTTGTGTAAAGATACTCGGATTGGCTGTAACAAGGTCTGTCTTGACACCAACATGTTTCTCGTATCCGTTGTCCACAGGAGGGAGGTTGCACCTGAACAAACAGCAAAGAAAGTATTATGTGGACTTTCCATGCTAACTTTGTGGATTATTGCTACCATCAGTCTTGTACACTGGACATCTTTCTCACCTGATGACAAACTGAGCCGAGTCGATCGCATTTCCACAGCTGCTGTTAGTCAGGATCCCACCACTCCCAACAACGGCACAAGTGTCCCATGTTTTATTTGAGAAAGGACTCTCCTGGAATCAACAACAGAAAATACATACAACATAACAATATTTATAGTATATGTACATTTTATGTAACTTAGTGTGTGTGAACGATGCTCTGCTGCGCTCTGGGGTTGATGTAGGAGAGTGAAAGAGCAAACATGGTTTTAAAATTTGTTTCTTTTTCCTTTGTCATATATGGAGGACCACTTTGAACCTCTAGAACTCTACTTGTATTAGGCTATCTGACAAGATTTCTGTTTTTATGGTACAAAATGTTATACCTGCTAAATCAGTTGTAATAGTTCAACGAAAACATCTTTTAAAGAAACATTCAAGACGTCAAACAGGCAGCAGGTCCTGTGTTCATGAATGACAAATAACATACCTTTGCAAAGATGCTGAAGAGCTTTGGAGTCACCTTCAGAGTTTTCCTAATCCCGTTGAAAACAATCCGCGATCCCACTGGAGTGTTGGTCTGGGTAATTATGGCGTTGTCCAATCCATGACACTCGCTGCTCAGGTTAGATCTGTTGAAGCACAAGGACATTGTTGACACTGGCTGAGCAGTAAGATGAGATGCTAAACACAATGACTTGTTATTTGCTGATTAAAAAACATTTGACATATAATATTAGGCAATACATTAGAACAATTCCATGTTTATGTAATGATTTTATTCCATATATATATATATATATATATATATATATACCAGATGAAACCTATCAGTTAGTCAAACTCCAGTCAAGAGTAATGCCGTGTTCACACCAGATGCAAGACAAATCAAACAGCAAATGACTTACATGTAAAGTCAACGTGAAGACGTCATTAGATGTGATTACACGTCCCGCGACATGGGTCGCGCACATAGCACAGTGTGAATGACGCAAATTGAGCGAGTTATGTATGAATGACAAAAATCTCGTCACGTTAAATGCTTGAATGATGCAAATTTGGGTTGAACGCTTCATTCAGGCAAGTTGAAAAATGTGAACTCAAGCAAGCATTCGCGCCACGATGGTCCAATTAGTGTTAAGATCCTCTGGTGATGTATCCTGGTATCCTGGAGGTATGTCTTGGTACCGATCCTCTCCAACAGGTCATCAAACTGGGTCCAGGTCAGCCGAAAATAGCACCGGTCCAGGAGAAGGTGGTGGAATTGCCCTAGCTGTGTGAGTCTCTGGAGGATCTGATGGACCCAGACATTGCGGCGTCTGGATCTACGTCATTTCTGGGTCTTCCACAGCAGATACAAAGCAGCAATGTTGATGAGCACAACCGTGTTTGATGATACCACACTGGAAAATGGCAGGAAACGGGCAGAAGGTCCTGGCGGACATGCAAGTGGCAAATTATTTGCGCGAATGAAGTGAGTGAATTCAGTGCATGGGCGCGTCCAGATACGTGTAAATTGCGTGAATAGCGCAATGAATTTGCATCTGGTGTGAACACAGCTTAAAGGACATAAAAGCTTTGTCTCACTTTGTGTCTTCTCTCTATGTAGACAGTGTTTTGTCCTCTGGATCAGGAGCTCCACATCTCTGATCTGCAGCTTCACCAACTTCCAAAGTGTTTATTGTTCTCTTATACATTGTTTGTTCCTCCCCTACCTGCTATCTTGTTTTCCCAGAGAGAATATTCTTGCCTGAAATTTTGGTAATTGTCCTCCTGCTTCTTCCAGGTTTGAGAGTAACGTTGTACTGCTTTGTCGATGATCTTCCTGTAAACACACAGACAAGTCAGGTCAGTAATCCCTCTATTTCTTTTTTTATAGAAATTCTAACTAAAATGTTACAAGTAAGGATTTGAGACAATATCCTTGCCGGATTTTTTGGGACTTGTTCTTTGGCTTTACTGCTTTGTTGATGACCTCCCTGTAACACACAAATAAGACACGATTGCATGAGACTGAAATTTGAAAACACAAGTTTTTCACTTTTCAGAACCTGACGGTATTGACGTCTGATGTAGTTGACAAAATGTAATATTTTTTCGAGGGCTGGGACTTTAATGGATGAATCTTTATGAATTAATTACAGAAAAAAATAACGCATTTCAAAAAATGAAGCATTTAATTGCCTGTCATTAATTAGATACATTTTTTAATCTCATCGCACCACAAATGTATTCATCTTTATCATCTGTTGTACACTTGAGCCACTTCTATAACCTAAACTAAAATGTCAATCTTAGATTTTTTTTTTTCAATTCTAACCAAAATATTAAAATAAAACATTGAAGCAATACCCTTGACTGTTTTTTGAAGGTTTGTCTTCTTGCTTCTTCAAGATTTGAGAGTTTCTCTGTACTGCTTTGTCGACGTCCTTCCTGTAACACACAAGTCAGCTGAGTAATCCCACTATTTTCTTTTTTTTGTTTCTTTAAAAAACCAACTAAAACATGAATGTTAAAAATACGGCGTTGAGACAACATCCTTACTTGACTTTTGGGGGATTGTCCTCTTGCTTCTTGGAGATTTCAGAGTGACGCCCTGTTACTTTGCCGATGTCCTCCCTGGAACACACAAATAAGACAAGATTTTATGGAATTCACAGGTATTTGAAAACACAAGTTTGTCTCTTTTCACTCCATCAGACACAAAAACTGATGGTCCTGACATCCGACAGAGTTTAAAAAGTATTTATTTAAGATTTTTAAAAATCTTCAGTTGACAAAGACTCTTTGTCAAAGAGCTTGTATTTTAACAAATTCTGTTGAAATATTTCCTTGAAATATGCAATCAGTGTCATGGAGAATGTATGTAAACGTTTATTTACATTTCCTTCATGTCTCTACAGATACTGCAGATATCTACAGCATATCTTTGCAGGGACGCTTGCAATTGTTGGTTATTCTGGCAAACCTTTTGGCATTATATTTGGCATATATGTTTTCTTTTCTTTTTTAAAGTATATTTTATATTTTAACTAAAATGTTAAAAAAAAAAAAATACATTTAAAAAAAACAAGGCTTTGAAACAATATCCTTGCCTGATTTTTTCAGGTTTCTTTTCGTTCTTCTTTGAGATTTCAGAATTGCGCTCTGTTCCTTTGTCGATGACTTCCCTGTAACACACAAAGAAGTTGTGTATAATCTCTGTCGTGCTGACGTGACTTGATTTGTTGATGCCATAAACACAGTAGTTGAAGCTGTACCACTGTTTGCTCACCTGCAGCCTTCACAAGGTCCAAAGGGCTGAGTGACGTTTTTCTTTTGAGGCGGCGGTCGGTGAGGATCCACATTACTGAGACGCCAACAGGACAAAAACCAGACACATTAGTAAAATGTAGATACACTTGGGAAACTCTGAGCTTCATTTTTCACAGCTTCATTACTGTTGTTTTGTTATTGACAGGACCTTAAAGATTACCTGATTCATTGCATGTATTAAATTCATTAAATATGTGAAGAGCAATGTACAAAATAAAGAGTTTTCAGCTTTTGCAGTGATGACGCTTTGAAGAGAACTGGTTATTTTGGCAAATCTTTTCGCATTATATTTGGCATTTATATTGTATTTTCTTTTTTTGTGTAAATATTCTAACTAAAATGTTACAAATAAGGCTTTGAGATAGTATCTGTACCTGATGTTCAAGGGATTGTCCTCTTGCTGCTTTGAGATGTCAGGGTTACTCTTTTTTGCTTTGTTGATGACCTTCCTGTAACACACAGACAAGTCAGGTGTGTAATTTCTTTGTTTCTTTTCTAAAAATTCAAACTAAAATGTTAAAAAATACAGCTTTGAGACAACATCCTTACTTGATATTTTTGGAATTGTCCCCTTTCTTGTGCACTACTACTTTTTTGATGATCTTCCTGTAGCACACAAAATAAGACACCATTGCACAGAATTCAGTTGGCATTGAAAACTGACGGACTTGACGTTTAATGAAGTTGGCAGAATTCATCATTTTTCATACACTGAAGCCATTTTGTTTTTCATTCAATGGCTCGATACAAATTTTGAGACAATATCCTTGCCTGATTCTTTTGGGTTTGTCCTCTTGCTTCTTCGAGATATCAGAGTGTCTTTCTGCTGCTTTGTCGATGACCTCTCTGTAACACACAAATAAGACACTATTGCATGAGATTCAGCTGGTATTTGAAAAATACAAGTTTCTCACTTGTTGTGTCTGTCAGACACAAAACATGACGATATTGACGTCTGATGCAGTTGACAAAATGTAAGATTTTTTTAGGGCTGGAACTTTAACTACAGAAAAAATAAAGCACTTAAAAAAATAATAACGCATTTCATTGTACCTTTCTCAGTTCCCTAATTTCTGGTACACCAGTATCACTGATGCACCCAAAGTTCATTTGCAGCCATGAAGAAAACGCACAGGATGCATTGAGTGACATCAGCATATAAGAAAGTTGGTAAACAATGATGGAAGACGAAACCACATTGTTTGGCTTATTGGGCGGAAAGTTTTTTTATTGTGTCATTAAGCCCTGGTGCTACTTGGCCAAAATTTGCAAAAAGTCTGCTCTACGCAAATGAGTTCAAGGGTGACGCTATGCCTCGTCACTCGAATCTCGTTTCACCAACACAATGAATGGGAAGCGAGAAATTGACGTATCCTGGAGACACGAACCATGAAGCAGCTTGGAGAAGAGCATGGTTGTGTGCAAATTGTGCAACAAAAAGGCTTAAAATGTTGAATATAAAAGCTATAATTGTACTTTGAAGTTACATTCATCTGTGAATGTAGTAGACATAGAAAAAAAGCACAGCTAAATATATATATATAATAAACATTTTATTTGGTTAAGTTCACACATATGTCTAATTATATTCATCCATCCATTATCTATACACCGCTTAATCCTCACTAGGGTCATGGGGGGCTGGAG